ACTATTACCTAGAAGAATAGCATGATTTATTATTCCTCCTTTATAATTGTGCACTTCTTTGTGTTGGTCTATCAAATGAAATCCCAATGAATGTACTCAGGCATGTGGCTGTAATTTGAGAATTTAAAGAAGTTTAAGACATTAGTATTTTTGCAAAGCACCGTATGTCTTTATTAGATCATTTTTTCTTTATAATATTATAGCGTATAACAACTTGACACAGCTGCTTGAACTTTTTCTTTATGAAATCCTGGAGAAGAACAGTTTCTTTCTCCTCAAGGTTTCTGACAAGCAATAGCCCAAGCTTATTTGTGCTGCATGTATTTGTAATCTATGCCTTGTTTTTTTTATGCTGCTGTTTTCATAAGCTCATCCTTAAACCCTTCCGCTGCTGTGCTTAAAGGCACAGCGAGTTAGAGTGAATCTCAGAGCTGGACCCAAAAATAGCCTGCATTCTTTCCTCTGTGTTTCAGGAAGCATCAGAAGAGACCGGAACAACCCCCCCCACCCACCCACCCTCTTCCCTCCCATATTCCCATGCTATTTCTTTGTCTTATCAAGCCTGTTTTTTTTCCATTATATTGCTCCAGTTATATGCTCATCAATGGCCATTTATGTTTGTCAAATGCATTAGCGACAGTGTGGGCCTGTGCATCACCTTTAGCAGTATCTCTGCTACCACATTACCGACATCCCTGTCCAGTTACTAAACCTTATGAATGATGACAAAATCTTTACATTTTTATTTATTTATCTTTGAATTGTTTGCATGGGGTTTAGGCCTACAGTTATCTGTTGATAGTAACCTGTCCTTAGGAATGTTGCAAGTGTTTGAGATAATCAAATTAATCTTTTCCTGGCTGTGATGTTAGATGTTATCTCACCTGTCATAGTAGTACATATGCAGCCACATTGTTGGTCAATATTTCCATCAGCATCTGATCACACGTACTGTTTAATTTTTTATTTTATTTTTTTTTGCTTTATGGAAAAACAGAATTAGGAGTTGTTTTTTTTATGAGATATTAATGCCTGAAAAAATCTATTAAATTAGAGGGATATTACAAAGAAAATGAATGTCTTTTAGGTTCTGTCTGGCTTCCTAATATCTTACTCCTTAAACAGCATCCATTGGCCAATAGAGCAACCCAATCTGACCAATACCATTAACCACCTGAAACAGAAACTTACATCATTCTATAAAATTTACATAACCTTCCTTTCTCATAGTACGACAGTTACCGAAGAAATCTTTCCTGTTTAAGATCATATGAGATTGCCAACATTATTTCTAAATGACAGATTGAGAAAAGGACTGGGCTGCTCAGTGATTCAGTGGATAGCACTGCTGCCTTGCAGCAAGAAGGTTCTGGGGTTTGATTCCCGGCCTGCCCTGGGTCTTTCTGCATGGAGTTTGCATGTTCTCCCTGAGCATGCGTGGGTTCTCTCCGGGTACTCTGACTTCCTCCCACAGTCCAAAAACACAGACTGTTAGATTAATTGGCTTCTCTGAAGTCCCCTTAGGTGTGAGTGTATGCATGAATGGTCTCTGTGTTGCCTTGCAATGGACTGGCAACCTGTCCAAGGTGTGCCCGTAGACAGCTTGGACACCTTAATCCCACTTGGGATTAAGAGTGTTTGAACATGGTTGGATGAGAAAAGGGATTTTTTTCAATGAATTTTTATTTCTAAGAATTTCAGTTAGAATTTTGAATACGTCCAAAGTACTATATAAGTACAAATAAAGCTCAGATGATAGTGTATAGTTTCTGATACATTCGTTCACCAGATCTGAGGAATGGAAATGGAAGGAAAATTTTGGAAGTGTTTTATCGCAACCGTTGAAACAAATGTGAAGAAACCATGCAAGATATCAAGAAGTCACTATGGACCTCAAAATAGTCAGGTTCGTCTTGGGTCCAGTTTCCTGAAGGTGCAAAAAAAAAAAAAAAAAAAAAAAAAAAAAAGGTGCAAAAAAAACTAACAACCTTAAAAATAGAAAATACTTTCAGACGAGAACAACAGAATTATAATACATATAAAACACAGTCAACTCTCTTAGAAAACAAAAAACCTGAAACACTTGTTGAATAAGATAAAGATGTTAAAAATCCTTGGAAAAAACAAAATAAAATGTAGCATATTGTATTTGCATAAAGTGCAGCTTGTGATGGAACAGTATAAACAGTATGAAATCGTGTCCTTGTTTATTTGATTATGAGTTGGGATTTTTATGTATGAATGTAATCTTGCTTACGTTATTGAGGAGGGTTTGTGTGTGAAGTCTAATGGGAGGTTTTTAAGTTTATTTTTTTATTGTTTAATTTTTTGTGTACACTTTTTTCTTATGGAAGTGGAAACAAGAATGATTTGTCCAGTCCAGATCTGGTAGATGGGATCCCACATGATCTAACATTTTTAATGTTTCATTCCCCCCATTTCTCTGTCCTTCCGTCCATCCACCTTGTAATAAATCAAATAAACATGATTATGAATGCATCATATTATGAAGCACACAAAACTTTTCTGTCTCTTGTTTTGCTTGAAAACATAATTTCAGTATTATACAGATCTCGCTGAATGAAAAAGGTCAGATTTCTGCTCACCATGGACTCAGCAGTGTGCTCATATATGAAGCAGTAGTCATGTTAATTTTTCATAGCTCAGTAATGCATAAAATCCAGTAACTGTTTGCTTTGTGTGATGGTTTGTGTCGCTGCCTTTGAGCCCTTTTCCCACTGCGAGAGCTGCTTCTCTGTACTAAGTGTGTCAACAGCACCAGCTGAGAGGCAGCCTTCAGTCCACATGCACAAGTGAAGGCTAATCCTTTAAAAAATGGAGTGGGGAGACTAAGAGAAGGAGCAGAAGGAAACGAAAGTAGGCATAAAGACAGTTTGAGGGAGCAGATCAGCATAGGTGAAAGGATCGAGCAATCAGGCGATGGTGTGGTCATCATTAACGGTGTGTAACAAAGGAAAAAAGATAGGAGAAAGGGAGGTTATGAAAGAGCAAGAGATTTTAATTTTTTAATGGATCTCCCATATCCCAACCTCTTAAAGCACTGCACATACCGCTCACTATCAGCCCAACCACAACAGCTGCACACATTTGCTGAGAGAGGTTCCCTGGGAAAGGCCTTTGATCAAGTGTGTCTGTGTGTGTGTTGGGGGGGTTGCTATGTGAGGCCAGAAGAAACAGAGAGAGATTTATACATTCATGCAAGCCTGTATAACTGTGTGCAGAAGTGCAAAATATGTGTTTTCTGCCCCAGATCACATTGGAATGCAGAGAACGTGCAAAGCTAAGGTCAGCTGCGTAAGTCTCTAAAGAAAATGCACGAGTGTGCTGATATAGTTTCTGTATAAAACATTCCATAAACATGCATTGGTGCGATCTGTCAAAGGCAGCTGGGCAACATTTCCTCTGCCAAACTGTGTCGGCTGAGTCAGACCTTGAAGCTGTGAGGACTTAATCATCACTATTACAAAAATGCCAACATGGATAGTAAAGAATTTTGGAGCTTATTAATCTTCAATTGAGGTAGTTTTTTTACACAGCATAGTGGGTGTTCTTGTATTTCTTGTGTTTTCAAGCATTGCTTAAGTGAACAGGTTTACAATATTCTTACTTAATTGACAAACAGTGCTCTTTACTGTAAATCAGTTTTCTTTTAGTGCAGCAGGTTTGTCCTACATGTGACATGAACTCTGTCAATGCGGTTCCTCTGAGCTTCCAACATGTCTGTGTGTCTCTGAGTGTATGATGGGTGGTAAGTGTCACATATGGAACACACAGGTAATGGATTAATATCAGAGTTGGCTCAGGCTTCACGTTGCTCTGCCGCACATTCTCCTACATTTCTGAGAGCACATGGACATATAGTTTTTTTGTGCTGCATATAAGCACATATATTTTTTGTTTGTTTGTTTCTCACCCTTTCCTCTGCTTACATCCATTGGTTTCCTTCCTATGAGTTTGCTCCAGCCATGTTTACCATGTGGGACTGATGCTGAGGCCGCTAGATCTCTGTGTTGAGAGGGCGTAGCTTCACTCTAAGATCAAGAGAAAGTCTTCCCAACACTGTTGTCATGTTTACTTTCTAGAGACTTCATTTAATACTTTGCCTTGGGCCAAAGAAGGGGTGGATGTTTCATCAGTGCCAGACACTCATTAATCCCCACACTTGCTTTCCTCTCTGCCAGATTGGGTCATCTCATTGAGCCATTTAGCCAGTACTGAGTTGTGTAATTTGAAGGGGGAGGCCAATATGAGATCTTTTAGAAAGTTAAAGAGTGATATAGTGCTTGGGCCCAGAATTAGACATTGCATGGTCTATTTTCATTCTCTATAGCTATCGGATATGAGCAATACATTTGTGAATATATCAAGGTACTGAATTTAATTACAGTTGAAATGTAGAAGTAGAAAATAGCAGAGGATGACAGCATTTTTGTTTCTTTAACTTCTTTTGTTGACACATTTTTGCATATTTACTTATTGAATAGTTGTATTTTAGAAATACTAACCATGTCTAAATGCAATGTTTATGAGTGTAACAGAGTTACAAATATCCAATCTACATTTGTGACTTGAAATAGAAAGGTCACAAGTTTGCAATGTTGAAGGTTGTGCCTGCAAGATATTATGTATTAGACAGGCTATAAATACTTTTGCAAAGGATTGTAAAAAAAAGTTGTTGTTGTTATTCATGCAATTGTCTGTGGTAAAACTTGGTGCCATCAAGCCCTGCTGATCTACTCGCCTCATATCCTGCTTCCTTAATTTGATGTGCTTCCTGCTGAATCAAGCAAATGGAGTGGCACAGGAAATGATAACTAAGCAGGATGAGTTTGGTGGATCGAGGATGGTTGATTAGGTAGAAATGGGGCACAAACTTAAAACCTATATGATCTGTGTGCACATTTGACAGTGCATCAAAATTAAATTAGCAAGGAATGCAGAGGTACCTGTCTCATTAATTTTTCTCTCTGTCTTTGCAGCAGTCCTATGCTCCTCCTCCTCAGCCGATGGCTCCACCCAGTCCGGGCACAACAGGAGGAGGTGGTGGTCATGGAGGAGGGCTAATGGAGCAACTTAGTAAGACCAACCTGTACATCAGGGGTCTACCACCAGCCACCACAGACCAGGACCTTATCAAACTCTGTCAGCCGTAAGTTTGAACCTTTCACATTCTCTTTTGACTTTGTCCAATCCTCAGTTCACTTTATAAATAATCAGCTCAGTTACTTATGGTTTAATTAGTGTTGCAATGGTAGCATTTAATGAGCACCAACAGCCTGCTCTTGACCTATGGGTTCCTTCTTGGGGGAAAAAAAACAGCCTACAAGGGCATAACCCTTCCTTTCTTTCTGCATTTTGTGACAAACTCAGATCAAGAGCATAAAAACCTTTTTCTTATTTTCAAATAAAAAATGTAAACCAATCATATTTACGAAGACGTTTAGACTACGGATGCACTAATATGAAAATCTTGGCTGATAAAAATTTCTGTTCATACCAAATAATAGCCTGGTCTGCCACACTTACTTAATATGCCGTATTTGGCCTGGGAAGGAGGTGGTACAGCCCGATTTCAAAGGTTCTTACAGCTGCCAGATGTTGAAATTTTAAAGATATATCTCTTTCTTTTGAGAAATATTAAAGGGCATTACTCCGTTGCAGCCACCATCTTGGCTGTTAGTGTATACATAAAAGCTCTGTTGAATTGTGAACAAATGCACAGATGTCCACTCCTGCCTCTCATAATGTAACTGGTCCAGTCTGTTCTTAATTGCTAATCTGAGCCTAAGTCAGTCTGGCTGGTCAGACTAGCCAAAAGCAAACAGGGCAGAAGCATCAAGGTAGGAAATATTTAAATAAATAAATAAAGGTAAGTCATTGCCTAAAACCTTTTAATTGGAATGAATGCAAGATAAATGCACAATAATGTTACTTTTCAGTAAAAGCATTGTTGATGAGATCCACGTTTAACCTGATCTTGAGTCTGAATTCTTGCAGCTGTGACAAAACACAGCTCCCATGCTCTGTTTATTTCAATCAAGCAATCTATTTATAATGTTGTTTTTATTTAGACCGAAAAGCTAACAAAGCATCGCTATCACTGGTATTAGTGTTAATAAGGATGTGTATTTATGCATCAATCACCTTCACAGCAACAGCTAAATGTCTATACAGTTTAACAATATAAACACCAATAATAAAATATATTCTGGTGCTTTTCCCATTTTTTCTCTCTTAGAATCAGATATGTTTCTTGTCTCCATTACTTAGGTTTGTTTATCAGTTATGCATGTCGGACCGATACTGACATGTTTAAAAAAGGCCATACTTGCTGATACTGATGTATTATCATCTCCATCATCTTCAACATTTTTTTAAGGGCACAACTACTACTTTTTCATCAACAGCATTAGTTAAAAAAAAAATAATACATCACATTATTTCTTTGCGGTGCAAAAGAAAAGTACTGCTCTTATTGAAAAATCCATTTGACATATTTGATTTTGATTTGATTTTTGATATAAATAACTGTTTCATACATTTTGACAGGTCTAAAATATATAATGATGTACCTCTGGTTATGATTCCAAACTCATCAGGGACACAAATGGATTTTGCACTAACAGAAATAGTAGGTTAAATGCATGAGACAAAGAGCTCAGGCTTTGCCAGTATATAGTAGCACTACGATACATTTCTAATGTTGAAGTGGACCAAAGAAGAAACAACGCTGAACATTGGTTGAGCTTTTGAGATTTGGTGCAGAAGCAAAGAGGGTCAGAAGTTGGAGGTTAAACTCGTAGTTACCGTCTTTACTGTAGGTGGAATCAACATGGAAGCACATTTCATAACTGAATTTATCTGACAGAATATTACAGTTTGTGTATAGTTACGATTCCCTTGCAGTTCTTTTGAAACTAGTTTAAACGTAAAAATATACATTAATCGACATAGGTACAGTATCTTTTTGTCCTCTGCTAAATCAGTTAACTTTGACCATAGACACAACAGCCATGGTGGGATTATTGTCTCTCAAGCCTTTTTATGATTATCAAATGTAAATAAGAATGAAAAAACATGGCTTGCCTATGCCACTAGGGCATCATCTTCTGGTGGTAAAGATTTTACAGATGCATTTAAGTCTCTCAGTTTAAGAAATCTTGTCATCTAAAATGCTCTACCTTCAGACTTCAAAGCACTTTACACTGTATTCTGTTATTCACCAATTCACAGACATTTAGTCTTATATTGATTACACTTTCTGCCACTACTGAGGAAAAATCCCATTTCCATAATTCTCCCACCACTGTTTGTAGAGGGGATGGAGTATTTAGAGTTTGTGTTGTTGTAACTGTAAAGACTTAGGTGGTAAAGGGATGTTTCTAAATTGGTCATACAAGTATTTATATACAAAGTACTATCAATCATGATAGATAACTATATTTGACTCACCTCCAATGGCACTACAAAGCATACTTTACAGAATAAGTCTTAAAACTGAAAGAAGAAATTAAAAGTATGCTACAGAAGTACATTTGTTTCAAAAAGTTACTCAAGTAAATCTAACAAGTTAGGCTCTCTTACTGCTCCCGTGTGTGTCAGCTGCAGTTCAAGTCAGCTGTATGTCAGTATAGCCCTGCAGGCATTCTGGGGAAATTGAGTGAAAAATAGGGGCCAATAAAAGCTTCATTAGGGGCCAAGTCAGCTTGCATAGTGGCCAGTAACATTTAGAAAAGGTCAGAGTGGCAGACTGGGGGCCACTGGGCAGCATTGAAAGCAATGCAGGTCTAATACAGTCTGAGGAAATAGATACACTAGCAGTTTCCTGTCCCTCAGTGACGTTACATGTTAAATATGTTAAGTCATATTCGTATACCAATACTTTACAAATACAAATTTGTGTATATGAATTCCCTCTTTGGTCTTATTGTCACCCTCATCCTTATTGTTATCAAGCTCCAATTGTTTGTGGTTACATCTGCCAATTCCATCTTTCTTTCCCAGTTTGCCTTCTTCCCTTGCTCCCTCCCTCTGTCTCTGTGCCAGTTCTCAGAGTGTCAGTGAAAAGTGCTGTTGTCAGCTGACATTTCCAATCACTCCCCCAGTCGCAAAACTATGGACACACTTTTAACGTCTGGGGACAGAGCAGAACGTGAGCTGAATCTGAAGCAAGGCACAAGGGCAATTTCCCTCACACTCTCCAGCTTTAACTCACAGTTATCTATCTATCTATCTATCTATCTATCTATCTATCTATCTATCTATCTATCTATCTATCTATCTATCTATCTATCTATCTATCTGT